GGCCATCCGGAAACTAGGGCCAATATTGATACTTGATGGTAGGAAAATTTTCTACTCAGTGCCCAAAAACTTCAAAAATAATTGTAGATATTTACAATAATTTTTTTGTAAATATCTAAAATTTTTTTTTTAATTTTATAAAATTTTATTTTTTGCAGCGACCCATAATTTCATATTCCTCTCCTCTTTATGAAATACAATACTCCAGTATAAATATTATTTTTTTTAAATATAATTTTCATAAAATTCCCAGGAAAAAAACTAATAAAAATAATTCCATAAAAATAGTTCGACCACAGTCGCAAGGCAACAACAAACATATCTTCTTATAAGAATGATCAAAAGGTGGATGATACAAACAGTATTTAAATATTGTTCTTTTGAAAAAAACGATGCTATATAGATCAAAAAAAGTTTTTTTTCTTTTTAAACATTGGCCAAAAGCCAATTTTCAAAATCAGCAAATAAAAAAAATTGCAAAGAAAATCATTTGGCAAATTTCAACAAAAAAAAAGAAGATCATCGTTCCAAATAGCTTCATTGATGCGTCAATGATTTGGGTGTGGCCACTAAATGAAAATCAAACAAAAAAAAATTAAACAGAAAACCGGCCAACTAAATGATAAACAGATACAGTGTTTGCTCTATTCTGTTTTTCTCTATTTTTGTTGCTGTGAATGAAGGAACAAACAGAAATAAAAATACTGCACTACAAAGCAAAAGAAAAAAAAAACTAATCTGAACTAAATAAGTAGAGGTAAATAATTAATGTTACTACTAATTAAATAAAAATAATTCGTTCAGAAAAAAATGAAAATTCTTGGAAAAGCTCATAAACATAAAATTTTTGACAGAATGGAGACACAGTGAAGGATGCGTATTTTTTTGGCCTCACAAAAATATTTTTGCCACATTTAATTGGTGCTGTAACACTATAGGAGGTGCATTCTTTTCAATTGTGCCCCAAAAACTAAATTGACCACCATCATATTCGTCTGATGTCTTACCTCTTCCTTATTTTTATTATTTTCATTTTCATTGGCTGTATTTTCCTCTTCATTGACTTCTATAAGAAGTGTAAGCTTGTCATGGATAAGAAAAATAGATATTTTCAGAAAATATACACATTTTTGGGGATTTAAATAAATGAAAATTTGATAAAAAAAAAACTTTGAGAAAAAAATAAAAAATTTTCGAATTGGAAAAAAATATTTAAAATGAAAAGGGAAAATATATATGGGAGCTACATCAAAATCTGAACCGATTTCAACGAAACTTTACTCACATCCTTATAGACACAATTTGATAAGCTATGCACAATTTCGGGTCGATCGAAAGAAATATACGGGTTTTAGTGATCAGTTTCCTTAACATCGGATGAAAATATATATGGTAAATCTGTACAGATTTCAACGAAACTTCGTACCCATCATTATAGACTTAATACGGTATGGTATTCCAAATGTTGTCTTAATCGGACAAATATTGAGAGTTTAGTGCACCATTTTTATAAATCGGATGAACATATATCTGGTAGCTATATTTGAAAAGTGTCCTAAGAGACCTGAGGAATTTTCCTATAGCAAAAAATGTCGTCAGAGACCAGAGCATTTTTTTATAGAAGAAAGTGTCCTCTGACACCTGAGGAATTTTATCCATAGCGTCCTGAGAGATCTGCGGATTTTTTTTCTATACAAAAAAGTGTCCTCAGAGACCTGAGGAATTTTTTTCTATAGAAAAAAGTGTCCTCTGACACCTGAGGATTTTTTTCCATAGAAAAAGTGTCCTGAGAGATCGGCGGATTTTTTTTCTATACAAAAAAGTGCCCTCAGAGAATTGAGGAATTTTTTCTATAGAAAAAAGTGCCCTCAGAGAATTGAGGAATTTTTTTTCTATAGAAAAAAGTGCCCTCAGAGAATTGAGGAATTTTTTTCTATAGAAAAAAAGTGTCCTCAGAGACCTGAGGAATTTTTTTCTATAGAAAAAAGTGCCATCAGAGAATTGAGGAATTTTTTTCTATAGAAAAAAGTGTCCATAGAGACCTGAGGAATTTTTTTCTATAGAAAAAAGTGTCCTCAGAGACCTGAGTTTTTTTCTATAGCAAAAAGTGCCCTCAGGATCCTTAGGAAAAAATTCCTCAGGCAGCTGAGGACTCTTTTTTCTATAGGAGAAAAATCCATAGGCGACTGAGGATTATTTTTTCTATAGAAAAAAGTGTCTTCAGCGACCTGAGGATTTTTTTTTCTATAGAAAAATAGTGTCCTCAGCGACCTCAGGAATTTTTTTATAGAAATAAATGTTCTCAGCAACCTGAGGATTTTTTTCCATAGAAAAGAAGTTTCTCAGCGACTTAGAGATTTTTTTCTAGAAAAAAAACGATTTGCGATTGTTTACAGGATTATTATAGGGACTCCATTTCCTTAAAATCGGGCAATATATATATATATATATATATATGGGGCTCTATCTAAATTTGAACCGATTTCAACGAAACTTAGCACATATCATTATACACTCAATTGGACGCGCTAGGCACAATTTCGTGTCAATCGAAAGAAATAGAGAGTCTTTAGTGCTCCATATTCTTAAAATCGCATGAAAATATATATGGGAGCTATATCTGAATTTGGACCGATTTTAACGAAACTTTACACAAATCATTCTAGACCCGATTTAATATGCTATACACAATTTCGTGTAATTCGAAAGAAATATAGGGGCTTGGGGGACCATTTCCTTAAAATCGGACGAAAATATATATAGGAGCTATATCAAAATCTGAACCGATTTCAACGAAACATAGCACATATCATTATACACTCAATTGGATGCGCTAGGCACAATTTCGTGTCAATCGAAAGAAATAGAGCTATATCTGAATCTGGACCGATTTTAACGAAACTTTACACAAATCATTCTAGACCCGATTTAATATGCTATGAACAATTTCGTGTAATTCGAAAGAAATATAGGGGCTTTGGGGCACCATTTCCTTAAAGTCGGACGAAAATATATATGGGAGCTATATCTAAATCTGAACCGGTTTCAAAGAAACTTCGTATACATCATTCTAGTCTCAATTAAATAAGCTATGTACAATTTCGTGTTAATCGAAAGAAATATAGAAGCTTCGGTGATCCGTTTCTTTAAAATCGGACGAAAATATATATGGGGGCTATATCTAAATCTATATCTGGCAACGAAACTTCGTATACATCATTATAGACATAATACGGTATGGTGTTCCAAATATCATCTTAATCGGACAAACATTGAGAGTTTAGTGGATCATTTAAATTAAATCGGACGAAAGTATGTATGGATGCTATATCTAAATCGGGGCCGATTTCAACGAAACTTAGCACACATCATTCTAGGCTTATTTTAATACGCTGTGCCAAATTTCGTGCAAATCGAACGATATATAGGGACATTGGTACACCATTTACATTAAATCGGACGAAAATATATATGGGAGCTATATCTAAATCTGGTCCTTGGGCCAAATAAGTGACCTATGCCAAATTTCATCCAATTCGGATCATAAATGCGACCTGTACTTTGTTTACAATTTAACATGGACAGACAGACGGACGGACGGACGGACATGCACAAATCGACTCAAAAAGTGGTTCTATATGCATATTCTCAAAAGGAACCATGAGTCTATCTAGTTTCCTTTTGCCTGTTACAAACATACGCACAAAACCAAGTAACACAGGTGTAGCGAAGGGTATAAATAATTTGGACAAAAATTGGGTATTTTCAGAGAAAAAAATATTTTTTGAAATTTGGTCGGATTTTATTTATTTTTTAAGGAGACTAACAAAATGCCTTCATAAGTTAAAAAAAAGTTTCAAAACAAAATTTAAAAAAAAAAATCCGACCAATTTTACTGTACTTTGAAATTTTGCCATTTCTTCAATTTTGACCCAAGATAATTTATATTGTTAAAGCAAAAATATTTTTGGGTAAGAATGTTATTATTTTCCGATAAAAAAAAATATTTGAAATTTGGTCGGATTTTTTTTTGGGTTTTTTGGGTTAATTTAAAAAAAAAATCGACCTAAGAAAATGTTTTTCAAGCGCAATTGGATTTATTCATACCAATATCCAAAATTAATAATATGTATTATTAATTATTGAAAATTAAAAAAAATAAAGAAAAATTGGTCGCTTTTTAGAAAAAAATTTGCACCAATTTTAATATGAGAATTGGTCGGTTTTTTATCAAACCCAAATTTGGAGGAATTTGTTTAATATGTTTTTGGTCAAAATTTGGTCCATTTAAATAGATTTTCAATTATTTTCTGAAAATTGGTCGCTTTCTATTTTGGTACAATGTTTCACTATTCTAGTAAATAATAAAAATCTAGAACATTTACAATAGGAGACATACTCCCAAAATAATATATCTTAAATAACCTGACAATAACACAGAAAAAATTCTCCAACAAATTTTAGTTTGAATATTGGTCGATTTTTGATCGAAAATTGGGAATTATGTTTTAAATTATTTTTAACAAAATAGTCCAAAATATGGAGCAGAAAAAATTTTTTGTTTGGTAAAAATTTGGGTACTTTGTATTGATTTCAAATTTATTTTGGTCGGTTTTTAATTTCACCTTTTTTTTCTTGGCAAATTTGGTAGAAATGTTGCCACTTTTTTATTCACATGTTTCCACATAAATATATTCACGAAATAATTTTAACAAATAATACAGATCGGAAACAGCTAACAGCCCTTCTATATAAACAACAACAAAAACCTCAAACCAAAAAGGGTCCAAAAATAACCAACAAGGAAACATAACCAACAAAATTAATAAAAAAAAACATAAGAAGAGAACGAAAAGGAGAAGAAAATCCACAACGAAGGAAAAAGAATACTGAAACCCAAAAATAAACAAAATATCGAAAAAAGTGTGGACAATAAATTGGAAATTAACAAATAATCAATTAAAAAAAGAAGAAGAAGAAAAAATATTTCCAACACTTACCATATTTGTATTCAATTGAGCATGAACATGATCGAAGAATATATTCCACCAGAGTTGAATCAAATCATTGGCATGACTGTAATATGTTGGTACGCTGGCGACCTTCGATTGGGAATTGTATTGCATCAACCAGGGTTTCATTTTACCGGCAAAATGCAAAATCTTAATTTTATCTCTGAACTGTTTGAAGGCGGGCAAATAGCAGTACGAAGCATAGGCGGTCACATTGTACAAGAACGGCAGACGTTTCTTAATATCACTGGTGGCCCAATCGGCAAAGTACTGATTCAACAAACCCTGATCACCGCCATCGAAACTGCCATTTTTCAGAGCGAACTCAACGATTTTATCGTAGGTCGCTTGGCTGGGTTTGAACACAAAAACACCCGAATTGAAACAATCCGGCCAACTGACATCGGGGGCGGCAGAGAATTCTTCGCGATCGAAGAGTTCATCACAATTTTGTAAGACCTGAAAAAAGCAGGAAAATTACATATTATTTTTTATATAAAAAAATTTAAATTAAATTTCTCTCTCACCAAAGTATCCGAATCCAAGAACACACACTTCTCAAACTGCACCAAACGCCAACAGTGTAATTTCGTAAAGGTTATGCCCAATTCGGGCCGTGACAACAGAGCCAAATTGGCCGCGTCCTGTGAATCCATAATATTGACTTCTTGTACGACATTGTACACGTCTTTGAGCTTCTCGCGCATTGACTCTGAAACTCCCGGTGTCACCAGGACGGCCAATTGATGGACTGTACCGGCCCTTCTTAGAGAATGGGCCAACACTAAGGCACCCAATGAATAGGTATCATTTGTGGTCAATGTTACCCAAGCAAATTCTAGAAAAAAAATAAAACAAAAAAATTACACATAAATATTTAATTATTTGTTTATAAATATCGTATTTATATATTTCAAAATTATTTAGGCCATTAGCAGCTTTCAGCATGCAGTTGCATTATATCGTTTTTTTGTTTATTTTTTCGCCTTCATTATTTCTTTGGCAGCCTTAGCAGGAAATTTGACATATTTACAATGTTGTTGCTTTTGTTGTTTAATTTTTCATAAACTTATTAACAAAATTTATTAAGCATGTCAAGGTATTGTAGCTGTGCCTGCAAAATTAGTTTTGTTTATTTAGCTTTGTTGTAATTAAATAAGCATTGGATTTTGGGGTTGTTATTGTTATTTATTTATTATATTTTTTATACCCTTCACCACACTGTGGTACAGGGTATTATGTCTTGTGCATATGTTTGTAACAGGCAAAATAATCGAGATAGACCCATGGTTCCTTTTGAGAATATGCATAGAATCACTTTTTAAGTCGATTTATGCATGTCCTTTCGTCCGTCCGTCCCTCTGTCTGTCCATGTTAAATTGTAAACAAAGTACAGGTCGCATTTATGATCCGAATTAGATGAAATTGGGCACAGCTCATTTGTTTGGCCCAAGGACGAACCCTATTGAAATTGGGAAAAAATCGGTTCAGATTTAGATATAGCTCCCATATATATGTTCGACCGATTTAACGTAAATGGTGTACCAAAGTCCCTATATATCTTCCGATTTGCACGAAATTTGAAACAGCGTAATGAATAAGGTGAAGAATGATGTGTGCAAAGTTTCGCCAAAATCGGTTCAGATTTAGATATAGTTCCCATATATATCTTCGTCCGATTTAAGGTAAATGGTGCACCCAAGTCCCTATATATCTTTCGATTTGCACGAAATTTGGCACAACGTACTAAATTAAGTTTAGAATGATATGTGCAAAGTTTCGTGAAAATCGGTTCAGATTTAGATATAGCTCCCATATACAGCTTCGCCCGATTTTAGGTAAATAGTCCACTAAAGTCCTTGGAATATTTTGACTTTCACGCAATTTGGCACAGCGTAATGAATAAGGTCTAGAATGATGTTTGCCAAATTTCGTGAAAATCGGTTCAGATTTAGATATAGCTCCCATATATATCTTCGTTCGATTTAAGGTTAATTGTGTACCAAAGTCCCTATATATCTTTCGATTTGCACGAAATTTGACACAGCGTACTAAATTAAGTATAGAATGATGTGTGCAAAGTTTCGTGGAAATCGGTTCAGATTTGGATATAGCTCCAATATATAGCTTCGCCCGATTTTAGGTAAATAGTCCACTAAAGTCCCTGGAAATCTTTTGATGTGCACGAAATTTGGCACAGAGTTATGAATAAGATCGAGAATGATGTGTGCAATGTTTCGTGGAGATCGGTTCAGATTTAGATATAGCTCCCATATGTATTTTCATCCGATTTAAGGTAATTGGTGCACCAAAGACCCTATATATCTTTCGATTTGCACGAATTTTGGTATAGTCTAGAATGATGTTGCTAAGCTTCGTTAAAAGATCCATAGCCAGGCCGATTGACACAACGTACTGATGTTATATAAATTAGTTTTTGTTTTGATACCTTATTATTGCATTATGAATACTAGGCATAAGTAAATCGACTTTCGATTAATCGATTAATTTAGCTGACTCGATTCGATTAACTGTCAAAGTGCGCAGTTTCTACTTGAATTCGATGTGAAATGTTGCCAACCATGTGAAATATTATAAGGGAAAATATGACAGAAGGTCGAGATAAAAACAAAGGTTTTTGTTTTGATACATCACTTTATTATTGCATCATGGTCGGGACCATGGCATAATAAATAGGTAGTCCATTTAGCGCAGCTGATGTCTCCATTAACTGACAAAGTGCGTAGTTTCTACTTGAATTCGATGTGAAATGTTGCCAACCATGTGAAATATTACTAGAAAAAAAATTGACAGATGGTCGGTACGAAAACAAATGTTTTTGTTTTGATACATCACCCTGTTATTGCATCATGAATACTAGGCATAAGTAATTCGACTTTCGACTAATCGATTAATCTACTTTTTGCATTGAAAAATCTAAATGTCGAAGTCGACTTTTGATCTTTGAGGAAGTAACAAAGTCGACTTTTCATAATCGACATTAAACGGCATGTACACTAGAACTTTTTCACCGGGTTAACCTACTTTATGAGGATTTATTTGACATATATGCAAAGGAATTGGCAATTGAAACCCACTGGGTTAACGAAATCCGGTTAAATGTAAACGTACTATTAGATTTTCTTCATGAATGCTTGGTTTATTACTAAAAAGCCCAAATTGCCTTAAAATTATACATTGCACAACTTTATTTTATCTGTTGACAACAATTCATATAAAAAATTAAATTTTTAGTCGATTTTTTGTTAGTCTGTAAAAGTCGAATAAAAACGATTTTGAACAAGTTTGACAAAAGTCGAATATTCTAAAAATCGAATTTATTATAAGAGGCAAAAATCGGCTTTTGCACTGGACTATGTATCCCTTATGATGACCTCCATGGTGCCTGATGCAATAATAAGGTGATATATCACAACAAAAACCTTTGTTTTTGTCTCGATTATCTGTCAATTTTTTCCATATAATATTTCAAATGGTTGGCAACACTGCACATCGAATTGAAATAGAAATTACCCACTTTGACAGTTAATCAAGACATCAGCTGCGCTCAATGGACTACCTATTCATTGTGCCATGCCATGGTGTATACCATGGCACAATGAATAGGCAGTCCATTTAGCGCAGCTGATGTCTTGATTATCTGTCAAAGTGGGTAATTTCTACTTGAATTCGATGTGCAGTGTTGCCAACCATTTGAAATATTATATGAAAACATTTGACAGATAATCGAGACAAAAACAAAGGTTTTTGTTGTGATACATCACCTTATTATTGCATCATGGTGTATACGAAGTATAGGGATACGTAAGTCGAATTTTGACTGTTTTTACTGAAAAGTGTGAAAGCGGAATTCGATTTTTAATCATTTAAAAATCACAGATCGAAATGGAATTGTATTTTTTCTTATAAATGGTTGCTTCATTATCACAAGAACTCTGATCTGATCAAATTCTCGTATTTTTGAGTTACGTTTTAGTCGTTCGAAATGATAAAAGACAAATATCGATTTTTTATAGAGTTTATGTTAGACGATAGAAGCCGAAAATCGATTTGCAACTGAGTTGACAAAGTCAAAAAATGGAAAAGTTGTAAAAAGCAAACATCGACAATTCTAAAAAGATGTGTATACCATGGAAGCAATTGTATTTGTGTGGATTAACCCTTTCAGTGTTTTTGTCGAATACATTTGACATTTAAAAGTACTCTCTTTTTTTGCGATTTTTCGGTTATCCCATGTACCGCTGCTATTGATGTTTTTGCTGAAAGACAGACGAAACTGTCCGAGGGTTAAAATGAAAAGTGCTATTTTTTCTAAACTCTATGTCTTTATAAGATTTTAAATAAAAAAATGTTAGATTTTTATCTCGACAAAATTTTTTTGTTGACACTGAAAGGGTTAATTAAACTGTGCAACACGAAAATTATTAAGGGGCTCTAATGTACCAATTCTGTTTAGTCCCTGGTCCACGAAAATACCTTTGGTATTTCTATGTCACTTTGAAAATTAGTTTTATGACGGTAAATGTAGAGAAAAACGTGGTCTCATAGATTTTCAATTTGAAACGCGAATAAGTTCTTTTATTTCTAACGGACTTATATTATTTCAACCACTGTAACTCCGCCAATTCTCAGCCGATTTACCAAATATATATCCTGTTTGAAAGGAAAAATTCTCCTCTTCGAAAGAAAAAAATATAAAATTCGTTAGAAATAAAATAAGTTAATCGGGTTACAAATTGAATTGATCGCTGCAAAAAATTTGCTTCGCAAAGGAGTGAAGACAAATGTCGAACCTTGATAACATTTCAATTTAATTCACAGATGTAACATCGCATTAGCTACGATATAAATACAATCCGCATATAAACTTGCTAGCGTGTTTAAAGACAGAGGAATATTGAAAAACTTAATTCGTATTTGTCATAAATATACAAGTGAAATTAATACCTTTCACATTTAGTTCATTGATGGATTTAATTGTGAACAAATATGCGCCTTTTCGGAAATGCAATGTTGCGGAACATTGAATCTGTTGCAGATACTTATTTGTTGTTTGCATCAGCCATTTAAGTACTCAACGATATCGTATTTTTGAGCAACATATGTTTCATAGTTGCATTTTAGAACATCATCTAACTTTTGCAGTGTTGCCGGACGTCAACAACATCAGCTGATTGTGTTGAAATCATCTTAAGGTATATTTAAACCGTTCGGATATATTTCAGAATTTCATTAATAAAAACGATTTAAAATCTCCATATATGTATTATGAGATTTCAAAACAGAATTTTAATTGTTTATTTTATATTTTGCATATACAAATGTTTTTCACTTTTAAGTCAGTGTGAAAATATTTCTCCCTGGAGAATTCGCACAAAATTAATTGTTTTTCTCTATTTTCACACATGCTGTTTTCAAAAAAAAAAAAAATATATATATATATATATATATATGTACATATATGCATTTGTATTATATATGGTGTTATGCAATATTTATATTGGTTCGAAACGCGTAGCGATATTTATTCGGCCGTTGTGAATATAAATAAAAATATAAATACATATAGACTGGTCAATTTTAGAATAGCATTACTTATAGTACGTTTACATTTAACCGGATTTCGTTAACCCAGTGGGTTTAAATTGTCAATTCCTTCGCATATATGTCAAATAAATCCTCCTAAAGTAGGTTAACCCGGTAAAAAGTTCTAATGTATATGCCGTTTTATTATGGAAGGTGCATTTATATTTTCAAACTAAAACAAATGAAAAAAGATTCCAAATATTTTAAATTTCCAGAATATCTATTTATGGAAAAACATCGGAAGATATTGGAG